GCCTCCGACTTAGCCTTAGGAGGAGTATTATATCAGGCTATATATAACAAACCTAGATATATACAATTCTTTAGTCGAGCAATGAATGCTTCACAGTTGAATTATCCAACTGTTAAACAAGAGCTATTAGCCATAGTGGCAGCTCTAACACACTTTCAAGATTACTTATACGGAACAGCATTTACGCTGATGTGTGATCAAAAATTTCTTCAATATATGAAAGAGATGAAACCCGACTCACAATTACTGAGTCGCTGGCATGATACAATATCAAAGTTTCATTTTGATATAAAACATCTGCCAGGAATACATATCCATTTACCAGATATGTTATCATTCTTCGTACCGGACTTCATTAAATCCGTTCGTGAGTTACTAGCCACTGACTGGAAATGTAATCCCAGGTGGTTTGAATGCACATCATAATGCACAACTATCGAATTACAGGACTTTAAATCATCCTTTGGGAGACGCCTTTCAAATAGACCTCTCCAAACATAATGCGTGGGCTAATCTAATCCACCATGGCAGTTAATTGCCCAGCTATTAAATTATGTTCATATACTTAAAGCTACCATCACGTTGTGTTGCCCATAACGGAGTAAAGATCCATGGCTCAATAAATTAATAAGAAATACAATCTACTAATGACACCACTGTTAAGAAGCGTCAGTTTCTAGCTAGGACTGTTTAATAGCATAAAGTGCAAGCCCGAGGTCTTTCAACCCCTTTATCAATGAAAGACAATCCTGAAGCGTATACACATATAATGCGACTGTTTAATAAGTCAGGTGTATCTAACGCACATGAGCGCACTTATGACACTCATGCGAAAGCAGGACAGGAGTCTGGAAACACTACAGACTTAGAGACCACGCAAATGGATTCTCAGCACCCTACCTTTATTCTGGAGGAGCAGAATGATGAAAACATTCTTGCCTGGCTGACACAAAACCATAAGCTGAAGCACCAGAACGTAGTAGACGCACTTAAATATGCTAAGCGAAATGGGATCGCGCACCCTAAGCTAGCAACTTTAGTTGACAGAGTATATCAGTCATGTACAGACTGTGATCTCAATCAGATCAAGCGCTATGGGTTCGCACCGCTTAAAAGTGTGACTGAAGATATTCCATGGCGCAGGGTCATCATTGATCTGGTTGACCTGCCCACGTCCGAGTACACAAGCGACCGTTACGTATGCCACTTCTTTGATGTGACGTCACGGTTTAACTTGCTCTATCCATTAAAGGATAAGAATACGCAGACCGTGGTAGAATTATGTTGCCAAGTCTTTGCTGACCACGGGTGGCCGGGTATTATGTGCACTGATAACGGTAGTGAGTTCTGCGATGACGTTGTGGAATCGCTAGTATTCGTATCAGGCATATACTATAAGAGAGGTGTGCCATATAAGCCGCAAACGCAAGGCGCGAATGAAACGCGCCATAGAAGACTCAAGTTCTTCTAGCGTACTGCATTAACGGATGATGCAGATGATTGGCCGTACCACCTTAAGTGGGTATAAACACAGATGAACGAGTGTGCTAATCCGGTTACAGGAACTACATCCGCTCACTATTTTCGTAGCAGATATAGTGAGTTACAAATCCCCTTTAACAAGGACGAACCTGATCACCATGAGTTACCATGGTTAGAGAAGGTACAACGTATTTATAACGTTGTATATCCTTGCTTGCGAGAAATACGCAATATAGCCTTATTAAAAAGGCAAAAGCGTTGGAACACTAGCAAGAAGATAGCAGAGTATCAGGTCAGTGACAAAGTTAACATCCGTCAACGTAATTCCGATGCTACTGTATTAACATCTAAATGGATAGGTCCATATATAATCTCTGTAGCAGACACTAAAAGTGGAACGTACGAGGTAAATAACCCCGATGGTTATAGTGCGCTTAATATAGGCACAAGTCGTATTCCGACTACAAAGATTATACTCGCAAGAAGACATGACTCTAATGCCCCTCTTGATCGTTCTGAATTTAAAGACATTATATGGAGAACGGATAAGGGGGGCTATACATACT